CCTTGGAGTCAGTGGCACGAAAAAAAGGAGTAAACCTGATGTCGTTTCACCACTCTTGAAGGAAAGCTAGCCAATTTCCTTTTTTTACAGAGTGATTCCGGGAGCACGGATTGCGCGATGCTGAAGGTAGGCCCAACAATACTGTTTGCACCTACCTTGTGTCTCCCGCCCGTTTGGCTCCTGTGTTTTTTTGTTTATATATATATATAATTTAGTGGCAGTTTTCAGTATTAACCCACAAGTTTGTTGGATTTTAGGCGAGTTTGTCGGTGTTTAGCCGAGTTTTTTTGTTTAAGCCGAGTTTGTGGGTTTTTAGCCGACTTTGTTGCTTTTAGCCGAGTTTGTCGCTTTTTAGCCGAGCTTGTTGGTTTTTGGCAAGTTTTTGTTTGTTTTAGCCGAGTTGTTTTTAAGTTTTTTTGCCGGGCCCTTTTTTGATGAGCCTGATGCTGAGCTCCGGTAAGATTCCATCGACTTGCCAACTGGGCGGTCCCCAAGCCCCCATTGGCCTCTTTACCAGGCCAGGCAGTTCTACTACCTGGTTTAACTTATATATTGGAGTGAGGCTCAAAAATAAACCTGCTTGCATGTTAGTCTCAGTTCAGTGGCAGCCTGTTTCCTTTTTTTTTAGCGGCTGCCTCACTAAAAATGGTCTTCCCCAAGAAGGGTTCCCTTTTATCCAGGGTCACTGAACAACTGAGTAGTAGAACCAAAAGACAATAGGTTTTCGGCGCAGCTCAATCAACACAACCAAACTGTTGGCAGCAATACTGCCACCCTCAGCCAGGAATGAGTGCCAATGAGCAAAATGCCACCGGGACAATAGCCAAGTTCGAGCCAGAAAGGACGTGCGCGAGGGGCAACGGGAGCGCGCTAGGAATTGACCGAGCTGGCCTTGTTTGATTCAGTGTTGGTCTGGTTGCTGGATAGTTCTACGTTCGGCCACCAGATAGGCTGGTGCATGCCGAGATGCAGTCAATTTCTTTGAGATTGTCAGATGTACAGGGGAGCATCCCGTCAATTTAGCATAGTGTTTGGTTCGATTCATGGAGTTCGCAATGGTCAAATGCGAGTTGGTTCAATTATCTCTAAACCTGAATGACGCACCATGTTTGCCGGGTTTACTTGCCACAATCAAGGGAATCAAGAATGTGTTCAGGAATGTGAATATGTTGAAACTGGAATTAGACAATCTGTCTCAAGTTTGTCAAGTTTGTCGCCCGTGAAGCGGTGCCTTTTTATCATGAAAGAGGGGCCTTTAGAAGCTGGAAGCACTGGGTGGGTTCTCCGATTTGGGAATTGCGAGCCCATTTGACTTGATCAAGCTATCCATGGCCCAGATAGATTGTGACCATTGGGTATGTCATATTCTTTGGTCTAAAGACTGCCCATGTCAGTGTCCTATTCAATCTGAATCTGTTTAAGATCCGGAAGTGGTTGCCTTCACGAGGGAACTCCATGAGTCACAATCCCTACCAGGGTTAGGAGAGACCCAATACCTGCAGCCCTTTTGTTTCAATACATGACTCGACATTGCGATCGGTGTTGATTTCCTGACTCTATCCGTACTTAGACATGGGCACCAAACGTAACCAAACAACATGCGGGAATCTCGCTGAATGGGCATCTTTTTGTAGGAATTGGAGCCCCAAAATGGGTGTTGTCCTTTTGGTTTCCCTTTGAGACCGGATTTGGCAAACAAATACGTACACACCCAGGTTCCTATGCGTTGTTGTTGTTGTTTCTTCCCCCCGGCCGTCGCGCGGGACAGGTTCATGGCGAGGTCATCTTGCAGCTGCTGGTGCACGCGCGTTTCTTTTCCGTCGATCGGCCTCCGGGAAGCCGTCCACGGGAGACTTCCAGCTGGAGAGTTTGCAGACGCTCTTGTGGAAAAGTCTTTGTGCTGCTGGAAAAGTCCTGGAAATAGCCAACACCTGTATCCCCGCTTCCTGCGTATCCCTGCCAATTCGCTCGCCCAAGGGTTTAGATGGCTTCCCCAGTTACTGGAAGGTCGCTAACCAACCACGTGCCTTGTAGTTCAGGGGTGGCAAGCCCTTGGTGACCCAGGGAAATGAATCCATGCCCCCATTTTTGATGGGTCAGAAGGAGACTCCAGGGTCCGACGGGTGTGTTCACATTTGATCGGTCTTTGGCTTACTTTTCTTCGGCATAGAAGATCTCCGCGTGGCAACGTGCGCTCGTGCCGCCCAGCAGCTTAATCTGGATCAGACCGGGGCGAGTCGTGTACACACACAAGACGAAGAGTAGTATCCCGACTTAAGACAAGAACACACGGCTGCCCAGAGCTGAGAATGTGGTTGGATCAACACATGTGCCTGCGCGTGAATGTTTGAATGTTGTGCAGTAAAATATCGTTTTCGGTAGTATCATGATTGTAGACATCATAGTGCATGGCAGTATGTATTGTTACGTGTTTGCCTTACGTTTTGTGGAAGGGTCAGAGCTATTTGGACACAGTTTGCTGCTTGGCTTCCAGCAAGGCTTTAGCCACATTATGCCCCACAAACCTGTTTACAACTCGAATCGCGCCACCAGTGAGAAAGGTAGGCTTGCTGAAGTCTGTCCAACGGCCTAACCCGAAGGCGCTTGTCAAAATCGGGATTGCGCAGCTTCTTGTTTCATATTTGGATTCCCCCTGTTCTTCTCCTTGTTGGTTCTTTTTTTAGTAGTAGTTTAGTGCCTTTTATTCTCCGAAGGGGCAGATTCACGAACACCGCATCAAAAACATTCCTAGACGCACACACACACACAGACAGCCGAAGTGCAAGTTGCGATGTTGCAGTCTATGCACGGGACACAGAGGCGGCGTCTTAGCCAATCGCATCGCCGGCCTGGTGATGGCACCAGCCAGGAGCCTGATGCTCATAAGTTACGAGTGCACCGATCCGGAGGTGAAGCAAGTTGTGGTTTATCAGTTCTTGCCATTTTCCCAAGATGGGCAATACTTTGGATGGACGAAACCCATGTCGCAGCAGTTAAGAAACCCTGGGTCACGACTCGATTCCCCAGCGTAAATACAAACAAACCATGGTTCAAGCATGGTTTCTTAGATGGTGTTCTTTCTGGACTTCGCAACCATCCGCAAAATTTATCCCAATAAAATCGTCACTGTCAGGGCCGCTGCAAACGAGAATTCAACGGTCGCTTTTGCCTTCTTCGCGGACGGCCGCTAGTTCGCTCTTCGCTCGTGTTGAGCGTCCAAAAGAATGCCATGGACGATGGATGTTTGCTGAGTTGTCCCCCCCAAGTGAATTGACATTTCTCCCCTTTTCCCCCCCCCCCCTCCCAAGTGAATTGAAATTTCTTAGTTACCCACACAAATGTAAACATGATGGGTGGGCTCCTGTTTGTTCAGGGTAGTTTGAGAGTCTAGGTTGTTGGTCAGAAGCCTCAGAAGTTCTTGCCAGTCCGAAGCTGACCTCTTGACTCTGTGGCTTCCCGGTTCCTACTCACTCCTGTGACAGCGCTCCCTGTAGTTCCTTTTTGGTGGTTTTAGACATCGCTGGTTTTGGTGGAGTGATGTTTCAAGGGGAAATTCGGGAAGGCCTGCGTGAGTCAAGTGCCAGGTTCTCCCTGAGATGGGGTTCACCGCCGGGCCCCTTATAAACTCAGTTGTTCAGAGCGAATCCGTGCTTTTGACCTTTTTTGTTTTCCCTTCTTGGGTTTTTTGTAGCGGTCCCAAAAGGTTAA